CTTCCTTTCTTTCTTTCTGACGTGCTTTTCTCTCCGTCGTCCCTACAATCGAACCAAAACCATAAAAAACACACACAAATCATTTTAAAAAATATCAGAAAATTAACAACACAAACACGGTACCCGAACAGGGCCACCAGCAACTTCCAGCAAGAAAAACCTGGCACGGAGCTATCGTGGAACATTCTCTGCGCAGGGCATAGTGCGTCCTCTTGACTGCTTCATGTAATTAATGTTGTCGCGTCTCCCGACTCGAACTTGTGGTTAAGGACATCTATCGCCTAGATCGCCTCAAGTCTAGGTCTGCGCATTGCTGATTGGAGATAATGCCCAAACTCCACCAGAACAAGACACCCAAGCCACCACTGAACATCACACATGCCCCAACAGCCAAAATAAACTTCCGAAATGACCAAGGCCCAATGCGCGCGCAACCAAAGAACAGACTAGGAGATCCTAGACTCAAGATTGAGACAAAGTTTGCGGTGCGGATTGCTGTGTCTCGGTCCGCTGCTGGTTTGTCGTCTCTCATGACTGCGAGGTTCACAGAAAACTCAGATCCAAGGTGTCTGTGTGTGTGTGTTCTGAGGTCGGCACAGCCATGGCTCGCTCCAACATTGTCAGCACAGGCGGTGTGCCCCTGTGTTGGCGTACTGTCTCGTCGGAATAGAGGCCCACAAGCCTGATGTGCGGGAAAAGCCAAATAGAACAGGCTCTACAGCTGGACCGGAGAATTAAGAACAGAATGAGCCAAGCTACAGATAGTCTCCAAGCTTCGCGGCATGCTGAAGGATGCTGACATGGCCCGGGTGCACAAGGTCGAAGATCCCTGGCACCTGCCCAGGCCCAGGCCGTCAGGAGACTGGAGCTGCTCGGTCCCTGAACTAAGGCAAGCTGCATAGACCACATGCTTGGCCGAGGTGAGCAGCTTCACTCCCTGCCTCAGCAACAAAAGCCTTTCGACTCTCCGAGCGTGCTCTGAGGCTCAACCCAAGCGGCTCTGGATCTGCAGGAGCTGCAAATTGTCCAAGGCGCTGCGTTGTGGCCAAGGCTGTTTCCATGGCCTCATGTCTCGTCGAGATTCCGTGCTTCCAGGGTGTTGTGGCTTTTTCGTTCCTCCGGCCTCCGCCTCACAGCCGGATCCCAGGCCTTGCTGCCGAAGGAGACGCTCGATGATCCTCGGCTTTTGCGCATGCATGGCACGATAGTTGTGATCACATCGTTTGGGTTTCCGAAGATTGCCAAGGGACTGAGTCGTAGAAATGCCCTCAGTGCGCTTCAGCCTGCCGTGACCACAGCACTCCAGCTATGCGTTCTGAAATTCCAGCCGCTACCTGCACTACAACTTCATATATGCTGCTTCATATATGCTGCTGCTACGGTAAAGCTGCTATGTGCGGCCAGAACGTATCAGAGAAGGCTTGTGCCAGATGCCGCAGTGAACGGCGACCACATCCTTATCCTTGACCGCTGAGTTCGGAACATTTGAAAGCGGCCATGTTCAATGGCATCGCTGTACATGCCATCGCCATCTGTGCAAAGACACATGGATGCCATGTCAGGAAACCCAAAAGCAATTCGGCTGCCTTTGCAGATTGGCATATCATCACCATGGCATATCCATCTTACTCGCAGGGCATCTGCCATTTGTGAAGACATAGAGACATAGGGCAAATGTGTCACGAACCTGAGCTGAAGACCAAAAACAGACGCGCAGGCTGTCACGGCAATCATTGGCAATATCTGTCATACCAACAGCTTCTTTACATCGTGAGTTCCGTCTTGTCCAATGCATGCGGCACGCTCATCCACCCACTTCGTGGCCTCCAACACTGCAACTCCTTAAGATTGCAGCACAAGAAGGCATGTCATGGCTAATGGAGAAGTGCTATGGAAGAGGCCAACACCCGTTTTGCCAGAATCAGTCCAGCTTCTTTCATTGTCCGACATCATAGGAGGGCCTTTCTGTCGAGTAATGGCTTCATCAGAGTGAATCCCGGCAAGCATAACCACCTGCCCGACGTCCATGCAGCAGCTATGCGGCAGCCATGCGCCGCTATGCAAGTGTGCTGTGCCAGCAAAGAAGCATGGACCAGTTGCCAGCCTTCTTGTACCCTTGCTGAAAAAAGAGGCGCTTCGCCTGTCTGAGGGCGTTGAAGTGGCCGACCTTCGCAGCCATCGCATCGGCAGACATCCCATGAAGCCGATGTCGAGTTTGCTGGAATAGTGCTGCATGGTGTTGCAAAGGCTCTGGCATGCATGAGGTCGAAGCAGCCGTTCAGGAAAATCCGAACCTCTAGGAGATCGTGGAGAAACGTGACTCCATGAACTGTATGAGTTTGTGTTTTGGGTCCGCTGCTGTTTCTGGGTCCGCACTCTGCTCTTCCACAGCCGCCCACGACGGCCGGTGCCAGAAAAACTTCAACCTCAAGAAATGCGCGGAGTGGAGTAGTTGGAAACTCTGCCCCGTCCCCCCTCCGCTCAGTTGGAAACTCATCGCTGACCTGCGGCTGCAGAAACAAGCAAGCAGAGTGGTGCTTCAGCTTGACACCCTACTACTGACATACCTGGCGCATTGCACGCCTCCACCCACTCACACTCCAAGCCCAGAAGGGCTGCAGTCATTGCACATGGTAGCAGTTCATGACTTCGTTATAATGGTGTTGAATGTGACGACATCTCTGCAAAGCTGCTCTGCATGAAAACATTGTGTAGCCACTCAGCAACATCAATCAATCATGAGCGGAGCCGAAATGCGGCAGACCCATTTTCTTATTTATTGCTGATGTTGCTTTCCACCGCATGCATTAATGCAGACATGAAGACTTGACATGATAATATGAGTGATTGAGTGAAGCGGTTCCTCGAGCTTTGCCGGCTCAGCAGCGATCGTGCGTCCACCCACGGCAGGAAGCAAGCACGGGAAAACGGCCTTAGCATAGTTTTTGCCGGGATGACTTTGCAAAACCGCTAACACCTTCGGAGCTGCGCACCTCCCGCAAACAGCCTGGAGCTGAGAGAATCGGGGCAGCCAAAGGCGGCTCCTTCCACTGTTCCACACTCAATCCATCTGGCACCGTTCACACTAACCACGGGTTAAAGGCTGCAAGTTCAACTACAAAGTCGTAGCCTTTGCTCCGAGTGTGTGCAGGGAGGTCTCCGTCTGCGTGCGTGTGTGAACTTCCTTAGCACATCACTCCTGCAGTTGTCTGCCGTTTCGTAATGCACGGGGACACAGCATGTCACTGGGACTGCGTCCAGCAAAGCTACCAATGACATGGGAAGAAAGGACTGAATATCCCCTTGCACCTGCGACGCAGCCCCTTGTGGTGCCAAGATGAAGAAAAAGGACAGCCCCCTGTGGTGTCCAAAGTCGTTTTTTGCAGCAGCCGCTGCTTGTACATGAAAACTAACAACAACCCGGCCTCACGCTTCTCCTCTGATTTCCTCTTGCCCTTGCCGAACTTCACAAATGTGTCTGTGTGTAGAAATATATATATATATATACAATCCCCCTTCAATATACAGGGGCAGGTTGGCAAGGTCATTTTTTAGACATTGTGGTCTATGAAATGGCCCGGGCAACTTCGGGATCGCGGGCGACTTTTCCCGACACAAGCATGGGATTACTATGAAATGGCCCGGGCTACATTGGCTGGATATCCCTCTGGATGCCAGCGGACACCCCAAGCAGCCTTATAAAATGGCCTGGGTAACCTTCGCCGCGCAACACGAGAGATGACTATGAAATGGCCTGGGTAACCTCCGGTCTGGGAATGTCGCAGAGTCAGCGTCGCCAGTCACGCCGGTGTGTGCACACACGGTTTCGGTATACAGGCCATAGAGAGAGTTTAGGTATGTTTCGGTCGCATCGGCGATTAAGCGAAATCACGACTATTTTGGGAAAACCGGAAGATGTCGAGGGCCGCGACATCAAGTAAGTTTTGAAAAAACCGGAAGATTTCGCAGGCCTGCCGCAGTAACGTTTCCGCAGATTCTGCACGATTAATATTAGATGTCCCTCAAAGTCTAGATAGCAGGAACGCTAGCAGCAGCAGCCGAGCGGTAGAGTTTGTAGGATGGTGTACGTGTTTGGTGGCTTCGGGTTTTCCGCTTCAAGCTTGCGGTTCAGGATTCCGCTTTTAGGTTGGTGGATGTTAGTGGTTTCAGGGTTTGTTGGGCAACGAAACATGCACCATTCGTCGTTATGCAAACATGCATGGAAGCAAGCACCCGCCAACGTGTGTGTGCACTTTCTGTTTTTTTGCTCGTCCGTCGTCTGCAGGCTGCCGACGGTCCTGACCGCCGTCTGCATCCCCCCTCGCTGCCGCCACACGCAGATCTGTAAGGCTTCACAGGGCTACATGGAGTAGAGTCGAGTAGAGTTCGGGTAGCGGGTCCGAGATACTGGCGTGGCAGCAGTGCCCATGATGCCGGTCGTGCCAGACTGTACACGAAAGCCTTGAAGCGTCTCTGCTTGCGAGCACAAAAGGTCCGCAAGGGCAGGAACAGGAGCACCTTTATAGAACATGACCGTGTTGCGTAGCCGAGTCTATTTTTTTGAGCAGCCGCAGGAGGTTATGCCTCGCAGGCTCCTTGCCGTCTTGGCCCATGAGCTCCAGCTTGATCTCGCGGAAGGTCGCGAAGACATGCCTGCCATAGGCCTCTCGGTTTCGCACCCGCACGAGCTCCAGCTCGAAGAACATGGCTGCTCGTCTCGCAATGGAGCAAAGGTCCTGGAATTGAAACTGGCTGATCCTGCACAGACCCTTGTCATCGAACAAAGGGCTTTGAGGGAAGCTCAAGCGGTCCTGCGCCACGGCCCAGCAGAAAAGCTTTTCCACGCTTTTCCTGCCCTTTGCCGAGCGAGCAATGTCCGTCGGCAAGATTGTCTCGCTTCGCTTGGGCTCGCGGTTGGCCATCTCGGCTTTTTCGTGCTTGACGAGCTGCTGTGTGTGTGTGTGTCTGTCTTTCTTCGTGTCTCTCTGTCTCTCTGCCTTCTTCTTCTTCTACACAGCCGAAGGAGGGCAGCCGGCGCAACCCCCCCCTGTCTCTCTGCCTCACTGTCTGTCTCTGTCTCTCGCAATCGCTCCCCGTCTCCGCCTGTCGTCTGTCCCTGTCTTTGCCGGTCTGCGTCTTTGCCCGTGTCTGCGTCTGTTCCAGCTGTCTGTCTGTCTGTCTGTGTGTGTGTGTGTCTGTTTGTCTGCGTCTGTCTGCGTCTGCGTCTGCGTCTGCGTCTGCGTCTGCGTCTGCGTCTGCGTCCGCGTCTACGCGTGCATCTCTACCTGTGTTTGTGGTTTGTGTTCGTGTCTGTGTGTTGGTGTGTCTGTTGTCTGTGTGTGTGTTTTGTGTCGGTGTGTCCGTATGTCTCTGTGTTTCTGTGTGTCTGTGTTTCTGTGTATCTGTGTGTCTGTGCGTCTGTGTTTCTGTGTGTCTGTGCTGTGTCTCTGTATGTGTGTGTGTGTGTCATCCTTGTAACAAAACATGTCAGGAGGGCATTTTGCATCTGGCCATTTCTGAACTGGTCCTTGCGCGGTTTTGCCTCGCTAGTCTCCGCTAGTCTGTCTCGCCTATTTAGTGCTCACTCCACCCTGCTCCGGCTCTGCCAGGGCATGTGTGCACACATATCATACGCATCTGCGTAAGTACCGACTAAACAAGCACCATTGGAACTCCGTACGTACAGCTTCCAGCAACAGGGAGCTCAACAATATGTACGAGACTTTCTCACCCTCCACTTCATACCATGAAGCGTTCACCTGGGGGAACGCAAGTTGTCACACCCCGACAGGTTAAAATACAGGAAGTGCCGGCTCTGTCACATGCTCAGGCAAATGCGCCCCAACAAGGGGCTCTCTGTGTGCGATCGGTCCGGGGTCATGGACTCAGGGAGGTCACTCTCCAGCGATATAAGTATATAAGAGTTTTCATGTCATGCAAGTTGTCATATTGCTTTCGGTGGAGTCGATACGGCAGCACCAACCCCCTGAATTTACGCAGCAGGGAGATGCAGCACATCACTGGGCATCCAACGAAGCTACCAGTGATGTGGGAAGCCAGAGTTGGCCACTCTGGTGTACCTGCACGTAATCCGGAACGTATCGAAGCAACTAGCATCCACTGTGTATGACTATTCTCGCTGTTGGTTCCATTTCGCAGCAAGCTTGGCACACAAGAGCCAGCAGACATGCGCATCTAGTTTTGAAGTGTAAGCAAATCCAACCGAGAGTACGTCCAACTTGTCGAGAGTGTGTCTGCATCTGCATCTGTGGCTGAGTCTGTGTCTGTCGTCTGTGTCTGTCGTGTGTGTCAACGGTAGTGCCTTCACTCATTGAACTCACCAAAAGCTGGGCTCAGCAGCATGCCAGCAGCATCGAAGCGAACTATGTATGATTGGCAAGGGCTTCAGCCTGCACCAGAATTCTGGAAGGGCCAGTGCGCGGTCAACACTAGATCTCGGATGGCGAAGACATTGATCTAACAGCCGCTTCGTCTAACCAGCTCGCCATCCTCGGCAGTTTGTAGTAAACTAGTAAACAGTTTGCCACTCCTGTCAGGAAGGTTATCAGGAACTCTTGCCCAGTCGCTAAAGGCCTGCCAAAGTTTATGACGGTCCTTTGGGTCACCTTTCGGACAAGATGGTCAACGAGGGAGCGCGGCGGTTGGGTTTTTAGCAAGCGCGATTCCAACTGAGACACATAGGGCCCGTTGTCAGTTGCGCGACGTTGAACATGAGAAGCCGAGATTAGCATGCAGACTCGAAGGTCAAAGACTGGGACGGAGAGCAGGACCCCAACTGAGACGTGCACACCTGCTATCAAATGGGTTTAGCATGCAGACGCCGAGGTCCAAGATCGGGACGGAGGGCAGGGTACAGATAGCAGCCGACGGCCGAGACGCGCCGTACTTTCAGAGGGGGCAGATTGAAGATGAGGCTCCGTGCAAGAAAAGATGTCGAGCGGGCCGGGTCAGGTGCCAAAGATGGCAAAGGCCCCCCCAAAAAAACATTTGTTGGCAAAGACAAACCCAGAGACGCCCATTAAGTCCTCTTCCAGCAGCCACAGCTCACGCCTGTTCGCGCCGCTTTGGCTTGGATTGACTTCGACTTCGCATGCTGCTAAACACCCGGCCTTCCGTACCATTCCGACATGACCAAAGGCCCGAGAAAGTTCCTGCCAAAGACGTGGCTCTTTGCAGACACACTGGCAACATCGAGTACATTGACGCCACGTTCAGCGCAAGTCGAACAGAAGCAGTGACGGGAAGACCATTGCTTTCCAGTTAGCTTTGTCGCAGCTTGCAAGAACACCCTCGCAGTGCCGAAATGGTCGTAGACATGTTGCAGCCTGGAAGTGTGGCAGGGCAACAGCTGATACGGCAGAGCAACGGTGATTCGCACTCTCTGAACAAGTTTCGTGCCATGGCTGGTCTGGCAGCTCCACGAAAATCCTCCACGGGACTCTTTGAGGTTGTCGCACAAGCATTGCTTCATGGCTCCTCGGCGCCAGCTTCAGCAAGGCAGCCATCAGCTGCAAGCTTCCCTGCGCAAACATAGCACCGGAGCATGAAGCAACGAAGATGCAAGAAGCACACATCTCATGTCCGCGAAGCATGTGCTCGCATTCAAGCACATCGTTTTCTCCGGCCCGTCCGCCCAGTTCAAAGCCAGGTCGGGTAGTTTAGACCACCTTGACTGGGAGCAAGCGAGGCGCGGTGAGTGGGAGTTGGTGGCCTTTGTTCTGCCCACCGCTTGTAGGTGACGTCTGCATCCGATACCCACCACTAAGGCCCGCTCGAGTCGCCAACACCTCGGCAAGCACAGCTTGATGGCATGACTGCACTCAAAAAGCACGAAAAGCCATCCATACTCTCCCCGGATTTGCTACGCTTGGGCTCCACAAGCCTTCCGTTGTCAGGCCACCAGAAGCATTCTAAAATCTCTAAAACACAGATGCGGGAACAGGAAGAGTCGAGTCGCCCTGAGCTGCTCCAAATGTGCCCTCACCCGACGAGACCATCGCACCGGTACGAGTATCACCAACCCGTAGCTATCGCCCCAAAAACGCTTGGCACTGAACTCCCCCTGAACACTAACTGACTAAACTCCTGCCTTTAGCAGGTGCCAAACTGCTGAACAGAAGCTTGCCTGCTCTCTCGCTAGGCAAGCAATAAAGCGGGTTCCACCCGGCCCTTCAATGGTTAAAATCGCTGTCGACACCAGTCATCGAGTCGTTGGAGTCGACATAAAGGAAAGCTGACAGGCGTGTGGAAGAATGGGTTGCCTGCAGATTCTCCGAGAAGTAACAGTCCTGCCCAAAGCCGAGCGCATTGAAGTTCACAACCACATGGGCCCGGTCAAGGCGATCAAGGGAGTAGAAGGCTCGCTCGTGTCCGACACGTAGCCAGTGGAGGCGGTGCTGTCGGATTGGAAGAGGCTGTCGTGGCTGTAGCTGGCGTGTTTCAGCAGAGGCTTGCGGTGAGAGCTCTCCAAACCCTCCCGAAGCATCGCCGCAAACGTGTTCGGCACCGGCTGGGCCAACATCCCAAGACCTGGTGGAGGACTAATCGGGCTAGCCTCCTCGGAGCATTCCAGCCCTGGCGGTGCCCGGAAGTTCAGGGTCGTGTCCACGGTCATGGCCGGAATGACACCAGGCACCGTCAAGGGCCCTGCATGGACAAACGGACCGACAGTTGAGCCGATCTGTTGTTCTCCTGCGACCCTGATGGGCACCTTCTTGGGCTCTGCACTCTCGCGCGCGGCCTTTCCCTTTTTCTGAAGGCGTCGGAGCTCAGACTTTCCATGAGCGAAGGTGCATGCCTCGCCATTCTTGCACGTCCCCTTGCGTGCAAACTGGAAGCAGAGCTGCGTCGATACCAGGTCCGGCTGATCCCTCAACTGTGACTCAGTGTGAGCAAAGTTGCAGTCAGCACCAAGGTGGCACCGGTTCACCTTCCAGTACTTGCACATCCTCGTGAACTTGAGGACCTCGCGCGTCTCCTTCATCTGTGCCTCGGTCATGGCGGGTCTCCTACAGGACAAAGCACCTAGGACCTTGGCGAGCAAAATGCTGCAAGCCCCTGGTTTGCAACGGTCTCTCAAAACTCCGCACTGCATACACCTGCACATACTGCTACAGCGTTTTCCGTTCATCTTCGTCTGGCACTGACATGGTTGAGATAGAGCAGCTATTTGTTTCAAGCAGAGCTCGGCACTGCTTTGAGGCCAGAAGGTCTTCGGGACTCCACGTGTTCTGCAGTGACTCTGAGATGTCGTGCATGCGGGATGCCCACTGCAGGAAATCATTCAAAGACCCTCTCTGGCTTGCTGTATGTCAGCTGGGTGGCCGCCAGATGTTTCAAACTGGCGGGCGCCCCAGGCAAAAAAAAGGAAATCAACCTATCTCAACCCCTCCAACACCACAACCCCGGTGATTTGCCAGGGCGTGGAAACCTCTAGGAACGTTCGGAATGTTGAGTCTTGTGAACCATCTGAGTGCCAATTTCCGTATCTTATGAGGTACGTAGTAGCAGGTAGCGATTCGGCTCTGCAGTCAATTGGTTCACAGACGCAGGTGCATCTTTAAGGCAATGTGCTCCCAGGCCAACTTGGTGCACATCAAAAGCGCTCCGTCTCGACACAGTGAAACAAGGCTCCGAATCTCTAACACCAGGCCCGGGGATGGGGTACCAAAAACCGGAGCACTCCAGAAAGCCAGGATTTCGTCAGATTGACTGGCCCGCGAGCTCAACCCTACGGGCAATTGTAACGACTGGAAAACCAAAATGCGAGGCACAGCGCCAAGCAAAGCCCTGTCTTTAGCACTGAGCGAAGGAAGGGCCAAATGGGACCAAGTAGTGGCCACATCGCACATCCAATCCCCGCTTCACAACCAAAACGGCCCGCCTACGGGGCTAGCAGGCTCCGCACACTCACTGTCAGACGAGTATCCACTCACCCAAACGGTGGATGCCACACTGTCGGCGCCAAGATCCCACTCCTTGTTGGCCGGGACCCTCGCATCCAGCTGCAGGGGTAGCTCTTGAAGCAGACAGTCGCGGCTGTAGCTGGCGTGTTTCAGCAGAGGCTTGCGGTGAGAGCTCTCCAAACCCTCCCGAAGCATCGCCGCAAACGCATTCGGCACCGGCTGGGCCAACATCCCCAGACCTGGTGGAGGACTAATCGGGCCAGCTTCCTCGGAGCATTCCAGCCCCGGCGGTGCCCGGAAGTTCAGGGTCGTGTCCACGGTCATGGCCGGAATGACACCAGGCACCGTCAAGGGCCCTGCATGGACAAACGGACCGACAGTTGAGCCGATCTGTTGTTCTCCTGCGACCCTGATGGGCACCTTCTTGGGCTCTGCACTCTCGCGCGCGGCCTTTCCCTT